AGCTCATTCCAGGACAATCCTCGGAAAAAAGGCAGATGCTGCAGAAGATTTAAGACTGTGAGGAGGTTAACTTTTCAGCAGGATATTGACTAAACCTTATAGCTACTGGGGAATGGATTAGCTCATTTCATGTCTTTGGCCTAGTCAAAGTCAACTAAGGATCTACAAGGTGATGTTAACAGAGATGCTTTATCAACTCTGACACAGTTGGGCTTTTTTCACCTAAAGAAAAGGAGACAACAAGCTGTTTATATGTAGGGGATTAGAAAGTAACTCTAAAATTTCATCAACTGCAGCCGAAGGGGATTTTGCATTAACTTGGAGAAGCAAAGCTTTTTGATTTTTTTGTTGTAAAGAACTTTGAAAACCACTTCTCTTGATTGCAATAACTGTTTTGCTTTTAGAATTAAATGGTGAAAAACTGTTATGACTTTTAGGGATTTATCTTGACAAAATGTGGAAAAGTTCATGTGCAAAGCACCGTGCAGCAAAGTCAGTGAAGCGCTTTCCACAGTTTGAACAGACACTTTCATCCTGTTCAGAGGACTATTTCAAGAGTTTTTCAAGGGCTTGGTGTTGTCTGAGGAGTTCTGGATGGTTTGTCTTTTTCTGATGGTGAAGCTGTGAGTGGAGGGGGGACGATAAGCCTATCACACGGAGCAATCTTCACGTATCTTTAGTTCCAGCTAAATAAAAGTTGTGTGACTCCCTCGGATAAGAGAAGACACAAAGGAAGCCACTTGTGTTGTGGAAGCCTGACGATCAAGTGATACGAGTGTGACTCGTCTCTGAACGACACACTGTCGACTCTGTTGCGGCTGCGTGTCCAATTCTTTGTATTTGTAGAGCAAATAGAAAACGATGATGCTGTACGCGACGGGCAGATTGTTGGACCGTAACAGACAGAGAGACAACAGCAGCTCTATAAAGGACCAACCAAGGACACACTGTTTATGAGATTATCATGGCTCTGAGAAGTCATTCTTCAGACTCTGACGAATGACGATGCATAACTAATAGGCATGGAGGGAGAGTAATTCTAGCAAAAGACAGTCTGGATTTTTAGTGAACATTCACTGTAAATCCTTCATGCTAAACCTTGGCTGCAGCAGAGGATGAAGTGCTTTTGGGTCCCTCCAGTGAAGGTACAATAAATGTGATTGCACTGAAAAGCAAGAATTACTCAATCTGTGGCCTGCCAGCAGATAGAGATAAAGAAGATCATTTCTTTTTTTTCTGGTTTGTATAGGATTTATATGGATCTATTCAATGGCACTTTTACCAGAGATTTTCCGTCGTTCTCTCTGGGATAATCACACAGCACTGAATTATCTTTTCGCCTCTATCCTGCTTCTGAAGGTCTTGCTGTTATTTTCCAGCTTCATCTTACAGCAAAAATTAGTCATAGAAACAAATAAGTTTTTACCATCTGTAATGATGGATTTATTTCTTTGTTACAACTAGACAACAAGAAGGATGTCTGGTTTAAGTGTCCAGCAGAAGTGGAGTGGGGGGTGGGACATGACAGCTGGTAATCCGGTTAAAGTATGTTCTGATGTTTATCATCCTACAGAAAAAATAATGTAGGGTTTTTAAAATGTTCAATTTAATCGTTCTTTTTCAGGGTGTGAATCTAAATACAATAAACACCTTTATGTCTGAAATTACAAGAAGAAATTTGAAGTCATTAGCGATTTGTTTTTATTATTATCTGGTCAAACATAAACAAAGGTTGAACCCTAAAAAACAATCTCACAGACAGAAACTGACAGAATCTCTGCTCTAAGTTTACTACCTTTAAGTGTGGCTGAATTTTTTTGCTTTTAGAAAAACTTGTTGTTTTTTTTTGGAAGAGTCACGCTGAGCCTTTCAATCCAAAACATAGTGTACAAACTGTTATGCATGGTGGTGGCAGCAACATCCTGTGGGGCATCAATGGGACACTGTTCCAGGTGGTTGGATCAACTAAGAAAGAAGGCTGCCTCAAAAATCTGTAGCTTCACCAGAAATT